CCAGCTCTCTGCTGTGGCCCGGGAGTGCAGTGGAGGATAGCCTAAGGCCTTGGGCCCTGCACCCCATGGGAGACCAGGAGAAGCACCTGGCTCCTGCCTTCGGATCAGCGCAGTGCGCCCGCCATGGAGGCCATTGAAGAGTGAACCAACGGCAAAGGAAGACCTTTCTCTATGTCTCTCTCTCTCTCACTGTCCACTCTGCCTGTCAAAAAAAAAAAAAAAAAAAAAAAAAGATAAGCCATACAAAGTTAGTTTTTTCATGTCATGGATTTTCTGTGAACTTTTTAAAAAAGGTTTATTTATTTATTTGAAAGCAGAGTTACACTCTGCCTGTCAAAAACAAAACAAAACAAAACAAAACATACCAGGACACCTTGCACCCGCAATGGGACAGGTTGTGAGTGTCAGGTGGCAAAGGCTCTTCTGAACACAGGAGAGGACAGAGTTGCCAAATCTGCTGGGACTGGGGCTGGCGCTGTGGCACAGCAGGCCGAGCCACCGCCTGTGATGCCAGCATCCCATATGGGCATGAGTCCCAGCTGCTCCACTTGCAATCCAGCCCCCGGCTAATGGCCTGGGAAAGCAGTGGAAGATGACCCAAGTGCTTGGGCCTCTGCACCCACGTGGGAGACCTGGAAGAAGCTCCCGGCTCCTGGCTTTGGACTGGCCCAGACCTAGTGGTTGCAGCCATCTGGGGAGTAAACCAGCAGATGGAAGATCTCTCTTCTCTGTCTCTGTCTCTCTCTGAAACATTGCCTTTCAAATAAAAATACATCTTAAAAACAAATGTCCTAGGGCTGCTATTCCAACTCTGTGCCCAAGGAGGGGCACCCGGAGGATGAGGCAGGAATTGGAGAGGCCCTGGAAGATGAGGTGATACCATGGTGGTAGCCAGCAAACGGCAGCATTTACCGGGAAAGGAGCCCTGCGAAAAGTGGGCGTCTGCTGGGCCATTCAGCCCCGGGCCTGAGTGTCCTTGAGAGTCTCTCCTGGGAGAGGGACCTAGGCCAGCGGCAGAAGCTGGAAGCAACAGCGTAAACAGGTGCAGGGCGACCCTAGCACTGCCAAGGGCAGTATTTATTCAAGTCACCAAAATGTAACTGATTCAGGTCATGCTTATCCCGGCACAGCACCATACCACGACCCTGCTGTGGTTTTGGTGGGGCCAGTATTTCTCACTCACGGCAAAGAGACAGATGGCACATCATTATGCTTTGTGGGAACGCGAGGACCTTTAGGACAGAAATCTGTGGTTTGGCCTAAAACGTAACTGGATCCAACTATTACCAAGATGTCTGAAGCTGAAGAATAAAGCCCTATCTTTGAAAAGGTAATACTTCACGTTTCTGCTTATTTTGTGCAATCAAAAAGATTAGAGATGGACAGGCTCTCTGTGGAGACATTTGTTTCAAAAACGGGAGTGACCCCAAGTGTGGGATTTACAGGTGTGCCTGGGCGATGAGGTCACACCAGCGGCCAAGGAAGCGTTCAGAAACCACCAGCGCTGGCAGGGCTCGCAGAGGCAGCCAGCGTCACGTGCCCAGAGGCGCTGGTAAGGATACCAGCCAGCAAAGCTGCAGAGCACTGAGACATGCAATAGGTCTAAACCCAGGAATCTGGATGTTTAAATGGGGCATTACAAAACACCCGCGGAGCTGGCTGGCCACTTCTGGAGGTTGAGAGAAGCAATTCACCATTTCTGAAAAGAAAGAAAGGGTGGTGCGTGCATTCTGCCTTTCCTGTGTGAACCACATCGCGCGGTAACAGGCGCAGACAGGAGAAGTTAGCTTTTAATCGAAGTATCCTAGCAACAAATGAAGAAATTGGGATAAAATCAGAATATTTTGCAGCCCCTGATGAGTGGTGAATCAGTCCAGCCAATGGTTTCAGTGACAGCCAATGTCCCCAGAGAAGAGGTGACGGGCACTGGGTACATCTCCATGGAGACAGGTGAAGCCACGGATGAAGCAGTCCCAGCCGAAACACCACCCCTGAATCCCATTAAACGCTGGATGGCGCTATTAACGGACAGGGGCATGGTGAGGCATGCCGGGAGACAGAATCACCACCATTCAGACTTCAGCAAAAAAGCCCTGGGATTCTTCACTCCCGGAGCACCAGGAGGGGAGGGCGAGCAGGAACCCCTGGATTTCAGAGCTCTGAAGAGGAAGAGCAGCCAACGTGCACACGTCACGAGGCTCCTAAGCTGCAAAACACCACCAGCCAGTCAGGAGCCGGCAACCAGGCTTGATATGGAGAAATGTGGTTATTTTTTTCTTAGAACAATGGTATTGAGGGTTTTTTTTTTTTAATTTTTGTTTTATATAAACCACAGCCCTTCTACTTTGCTCTCATAATAACCATACATAATAAACTGTTCTCATACCTGGATCTGTGGGTTGATTATTTGTATACAATTTTTTTTTGACAGGCAGAGTGGACAGTGAGAGAGAGGGACAGAGAGAAAGGTCTTCCTTTGCTGTTGGTTCACCCTCCAATGGCCACCACAGCCGGCGCACTGCGTTGATCCGAAGGCAGGAGCCAGGTGCTTTTCCTGGTCTCCCATGGGGTGCAGGGCCCAAGCACTTGGGCCATCCTCTACTGCACTCCCTGGCCACAGCAGAGAGATGGCCTGGAAGAGGGGCAACCAGGACAGAATCCGGCGCCCCGACCGGGACTAGAACCTGGTGTGCTGGCGCTGCAAGGCGGAGGATTAGCCTAGTGAGCTGGCAGCGCCGGCCTATTTGTATACAATTTTAAGGGCCAATGGATATTTCTTGTTATTCAGTTCCACCTTTATGCACCTATTCTGGGATAATGTACCACATGATGAAATATGATGGCTGGGATAGGTTCTCAGTTAGTGGGTAGGAGAGTAGGTGGAGTATAGGAGAAATAATATCAGTCGTGAGCTGGCCACCGTTGGCTCTGGGAGATACACACTGAGAGATCTAGTAAATGATTTTTTCCATTTTTGGAAAAAACTAAAGTGAAAACTCATTAGAATAACGAAAACAACAGCTTTGGTAGCAAAATGCCAATGCCAGAGTAAATCCCCTAGGAAAATGGAATTCTGGCTTCCAACCTGGCTTTTCAGTGGGGACATCTGTCTGATTGCTGAAACCTAGAGTTACTTGAAAGGAGCTGGCAATCAGCCTAGTGGGTGAGTGGCTGGTTGGGACGCTGGATCCCGTGTCGGCTGGTTGGGACGCTGGTATCTGTGTCGGCTGGTTGGGACACTGGTATCCGTATCGGCTGGTTGGGACGCTGGCATCCGTGTCGGCTGGTTGGGACGCTGGTATCCGTGTCGGCTGGTTGGGACACTGGTATCCCATGTCTGAGCGCCTGCATTTGATTTCCAGCTCTGCTCCAGCTTTCTGCCTAAGTGCAGCCCGGGAGGCAGCCGGCAATGGCTCAAGTAGCTGGGTTCCTGCCACCCACATGGGATACCTGGATGGGATTCCTGGCCCCCTGGCCTCAGCCCGGAGGGCATTTGGGGGAACCAGGAGATGGGCTCTCTCTGTGTCTATCCATCTCTGTCTCTCAAGAAAGACTTGGCACGCACTGGACTCCACAGCACATCCATGTAGACTCTGAACTTTGTACCTGCTGCAGTGACCTGTGGCCCTCACGGATTGGACAGCAGCTCTGTGGGCCCATGTGAACCCACAGGACGTGTGGCAGCAGGTGCTGTGGGGTCAGACCCCGGTCTCCCAGCAGTACTGACTGTGTCTGCCTCACTGGCATTTTATTCCATGAATATCAGCACAGAGAATTTTTTCAACATTCTATAAGCCTTGATTTAGGGTCTTCTATACATTTGCCTCTGGGACCGTGGGTACAGTATCTTCAGGATACCACTAAATAAGCAGCAAACATATTCATTCAGCTACTAAAGTTGAATGCAAATGATTGTGGCTTTGGACTCGTGGCTGAGGCATGAGGGCTGGGACAGCGCAGTGGGATCTTATTCTCCTAAAAAGGAACACTCGGCTCAAAAGTCAATATATTCAAAGAATGACAGAATCGACCAGTGTCGCGGGTTAAAAAAGATGATTTTTTTAAGCACACATTTTATGACCTGTAAACCTCAGGCTCCATCACCGATGGGTAAGATTTTGAGTTGAACTCTTTGCCACCCACTCTAAGAAGGAAGGAAGAAGGTGGAATCCACGTGTTTCTGACCAAGCTCTGGGGACTGGGGGAGGGACGAGAAAACCAACAAAACCTACTTCTTAGCAGAGCATCCATATCAGAACCTTTCTATCCAACCAAACGGAATGTTAGCAGGAAAACAATGCCGGCAGTCTCACGTGCTGCCAGGTTTAAGTCGAGGGCCATGGGTTCTAAAACTTCTCACATTTCAGCTACAGCAATCGCTCGGCTATTCCACGTTCTCTCCCCCTACAGCCGAAGCACTGTTATGTTCTTCACACGCTCTTTGCTAATTATTCAGAGGCTGCTTCAGGCATGTGTACAGCCGCACGTATATGCTGTATCCTTCACAGGGCTGAGAATGAGCTCTTCGCCGTCTCCCACCCCCAAATGACCCAGAAGCACCCAGAACGGTTTGGCTGGAGGGAGGAAGAAAGGGAGCGAGGGGGAGGTGGGCAGGGCAGGCCTCACAAGCCCCGTGAGTCTTAGAGACTGAACTGCGCATCGTTACTCAAGCTCTGGCTCAAATAAATAATATCTTCAGGATGAACTTTAAAAACATATCTTTAGACCAAACTGAGTGTCAGGAAAAGACACCTTGTTTGTGCAATCGAGACGAATCGTAGTGTCCCGGGGCCTGCTGTAAGCCGAGTCTAACAGCTCAGGGAACTTGGGTGCAACTGAAAACGTGGACCGAAACCATCAACTGACCTCGCCTAAATTGATGGAGCGAGGGGCCCGGCAGCACAGCCACCACTGTAAGACGTGAAATGAAGTAGACAGGTGACACAGAAAGGAACTGACCCACTTTCTCAACGCTCCTCATTGGTAATAAGCAAAATTACCTCCGAGTAATTGGGCGAGAGGTACTTCCCGTTGCATTTAGCAATCTTCCTGAGAATCTTCAAGGCTTCATCTCCTTCCTTCCGAGTGATCAGCCAGCGGGGAGACTCGGGAACCACCCTGGCAAAGATCAAGGCTTTCTGAGTTATGTCCAGGAAACGTCAAAACTACAAGTTCACGACTTGAGCTTTTCTATCAAAGTGTATTTTGCAATTGGGAACAAGTCGGGGTTGATAGTAAGCTCTTGAAATGTAGGTTATCTTTGCCGGCTGCCTTGTCACTGTCTCTACTGATTCCCACATTATAGTTTTGGGGTCATTCACTGTGAACCTCAGACTCGACAAACTGTTTTTCATTACAAGACCATTTTAATTCTCACCACCTGTTGCACTTTTAATTGGCAAATTTATGAAAATGCTAACCTGATAACTGGATCATTGCTCATAAAAATTAATTGACTGTACACTGCTCTTGGAAGACCAGGCTACCCAGAACAGTATCTTTGATCACATTTATGAAAAGAATTGGGATGTAGTGAATATTTAGGAAAAGATTAAGAACCTAGGGCCAGCATCGTAGCATAGTAGGTTAAGCCGCTGCCTGCAATGGCAGCAGCCCATGTGGGTGCCTGTTTGAGTCCTGGCTGCTCCACCTCTACTCCAGCTCCCTGCTAATGTGCCTGGGGAACCAGTAAGGGTGGCCCAAATCCTTGGGCCCCTGCAGCCCACGTGGGAGACTCAGATGGAGTTCCAGACTTCTGGCTGACCTGGCCCCAGCCATTTTGGAGAGTGAATTAGTGGACAAAAAATCTCTCTTTCCCTCTCTCCCTCTCTCCCTCTCTCCCTTCCTCTCTCTAACTCTGCCTTTCAACTAAGTAAATGAATCTTCTAAAAAAGAAAAGAAATGGCTGGCACCGCGGCCCACTAGGCTAATCCTCCGCCTGCAGCGCTGGCATCACAGATTCTAGTCCCAATCGGGGTGCCAGATTCTGTCCCGGTTGCCCCTCTTCCAGGCCAGCTCTCTGCTGTGGCCCGGGAGTGCAGTGGAGGATGGCCCAAGTGCTTGGGCCCTGCACCCGCATGGGAGACCAGGAGGAAGCACCTGGCTCCTGTCTTCAGATCGGCACAGTGCCGGCCATAGTGGCCTTTGGGGAGTGAACCAATGGAAGGAAGACCTTTCTCTTTGTCTCTCTCTCTCTCACTAACTCTGCCTGTCAAAAAAAAATAAAAAGAAAAAAGAAAAGAACCTGGTCTTTGTATACTGATTTGCTCATATATTAAACTTCAATTACAGGAATGATTAAAACACATTCGTGGCAGTAAGAATCAAATGCATACACTGGTAGCTTCTTAATGACTTAATTCAGAGCCAGTGTTGTGGTGTAGCAGGTGAGGCTACTGCCTGTGACACGGCATCCCATATGGGTGCTAGTTCCTGTCCCAGCTGCTCCACCTCTGATCCAGCTCCCTGCTAATGGCCTGGGAAAGCAGCCGAAGATGGCTCAAGTGTTTGGGCCCCTGCCACCCAGGTGGGAGACCCAGATGAAGCTCCTGGCTCCTGGCTTCAGTCTTGTCCAGCCCTGGCCATTGAGACCACTTGGGGAGTGAACCAGCAGATGGAAGCCCTGTCTCTCTGTCTCTCCCACTCTCTGTAACTCTGGCTTTTGACTAAATAAATACACCTTTTTATAAAGCCCTTAATTTTCTTATGCTCTTAACATTTTCTTATTCCTCTCAGAATTCTTGAGTAATATTAATTTGCTTAACAGAACATACAGAGAAGTGATTTCACTGCATTTAATGTGTACTTCAAAATACTGGCAGATATAATTTGTTACCTTATAGTTTTCGTGAAGATATTGCAGAACCACAAAACTTAATGCAACACTCGCTTTAGAGTTTTGTTTGGCAACTTTGTTATCTTTAGCGACAACTCTTGAATCACCAGTAAATAACCTCTATACATTCTCAAGTTCTCTAAAATTCCCAAAGCCTGCAGCCATTCCGGAAATGTTACGAAACCTCCCTCGGTGACTCCATGTTGGCTCGGATTCTGCGTCTCTGTGCAGTAAGCACACGCATGATGGCCCACACCACCTTACCAGTAGTACAGGAGGAAGAGGAAGTTGGGCAGTGTTACGGCCAGCTGGATCCCCTGCCAGCTGGGGATGAAGTAGGCGATTCCAGGGAGGATTATGATTCCGAGGGTGAAGAACATTTGAATCACGATTCCCACAATCCTCCTCTGCTTGGATCCTACTATTTCGGTCACTGAAGGAAAACAAACAAGAGAGGTTAAGAATTCCCAAGAGCGGCTCCAATACAAATACGGACGTCCACCTGCTCTCCCCAGGGTCTGCGAGGACACTGGAGCCCAGACACGGAGGCCCCCATTCCTGCGGCTACACTGGGGGAGGCGACCTTCCCACCCCCGTTACATGCCACACACACACACACACACACACACACACACACACCGTAACCTACCAGCACCTGCCAAAGAATACACGTGTTGGTTTTAGGAAAGCTTCATGATGACTACTTTGAAAGGTATTTCTAACAATCCAAACATAACTACAGCAAGCTGGCTACACCACTGTAGGTTTAAGGAAACTCATGATGGACATTAGATTCTACAATTACTTTCCATTATCATAAGGCAGTTTCAGTTAAATGATAATTCTCTCCAGGTGTTGGTCTTCCCACGTATGTGATGTTTCTCTAAAAGTGATACAGGAAATCTCATACTTGGGATTCTTCCCCCCCCTGCCCCTTCCCTATAATTGGCCTCTTCTGCTCTGACCTTCCTGGAATGGGCTGCCCTGTTCTTGCCCTAGGATCACAACTTTGAAAATCCACATAGGCTTGGGTCCCCTTGCAGCCTTCATGGTTCAAAGTTATCCCTTCTGCTCCAGCCAGCGACAATAACCTCTCGGCCCTCTCTCTCTCCTCCCGCCCACAAAACAGTCTTCCAAAGTCTCCAGTGTGGATCCTGCTTGGGGACTGCATGAAGCCACGGAAGAAGGTGGAAGCCCAAGGAGCTGGGACAACAGTCAGGGACAAACACTCCCATCTCCCTGGTCGTGAGCCCACCGTGACTTAGAGTGACTGCTGCTGGGCTGCAGCAGAGCCCAAGGAAGCAGCCAGCGCTCCAGCCCTTTCCCAATAAGGGGAGGTTTTCCTTCTCTCTCCGCGCTGTGGGAGACAGCAAAGGCTCACAGAGAAACGTCTCAGGAGTGGAGCTATCTGCCTCCACCAGAGTAAAAGGCTCTCCGCTTCTGTGGCAGGAGGAGAGTTTAGGTCCAACCTCAGCGAGCACAGGAAGGTCCTCTCAGCTGTAGCACAGGACGCACCACACAGGAAACACCTGCACAGTGTGATTTCAGGGCCAGTCTTCGGCTCAGCGGGCTAAGCCACTGCCTGCTGCACCATCGTCCCACGTCAGAGTGCTGGTTCAAGTCCTGGCCGCTCTGCTTCAGATCCAGCTCCCTGCCAATGCACCTGGGAAGGCAGATGACGGCCCAAGTGCTCGGGCTCCTGCCACCCATATGGGAGACCCAGATGGAGTTTCTGGTTCCTGACTTTGGTTGGCCCAGCCTCAGCCGTTTGGAGAGCGAACCAGTGGGTGAAAGATTTTCTCTCTGTCTCCCTCTGTCATTCTGCCTTTCAAATACACTTTTAAAACTCCTTTTTTAAAAAGTTATCACAAGGAGTTACTGAAATTCGAATAAAAATGAGTATATAACAAGGCAAAGCCGGAAAACACGCTAACTGATTGGGAGCCCACAAGAGTGGTTCCCGCTGTGTCTTTTGACATTGTCACGTTCGGTTCCCGAAGTCGTGTGGCATCTGAGATTCTAAGGCAGCCCACATCCTGCCCCAGCCTTGCTGGGAGGAATCGGCGCCTCCCTCCCTGACTTGGAGAGGATGCAGGGGCTGGCTGGGGGCTGGCACTTCTCAGCCCCCCGGGCCCAGCTCTCAGATGCAGACGGAGGGGTAGGGACGTCTTACCAATCACGTAGCAGGTCATCCACGTCCCCTTTCCAAACACACCCTGCAGGAAGCGGAAGACCGCAAACACAGGGAAGTTTGGTGCAAACGCCACCACCACACCGGTGATGCCAACGCCGAGGCAGGATATTAAGTAAGTGACTCTTCTACCGTACCTGTCGGAGAAAGAGAGGAAAGGAGGTCACCTTAAACATTTGCTTAATTCAGGGAGGAAAAAAAGTCACGTCAAAGGAAGTTGCAAGTATAGAAAACGTGTCCTCTATAATTTTATTATTATAAAGTAAAGGATTGTTGGGGCCGGCGTTTTGGCGCAGTGGGTTAAGCCACAGCCCGTGACATGGGCATCCCATATGAGTGCCGGTTCCAGTCCTGGCTGCTTCACTTCCGATCCAGCTCCCTGCTGATGTGCCTGGGAAAGCAGCAGAGGATGACCCAAGCACGTGGGCCCCTGCAACCCATGTGGGAGATTTGGGTGGAGTTCCAGGCTCCTGGCTTCAGCCTGGGCCAGCCTTGGCCATCGCAGCCATCGGGGGAGTAAATCCAATCTCTTGCTCTCGCTCTCGCTCTCTCTGTAACTCTGCCTTTCAAATAAATAATAAAATAAATCTTTAGGAAAAATGAAGGATGTTGAAAATCTGTGTTCCAGCAAAACCAGGGCAAATCAAGCATGGGCCTGTGAAATGACAACATTTACACACGTAAAGCAGAGAATGCACCCTCTGTGGCTGCTCCTGCCGTAAAGATGGCCTCTCCTCTACACCTGCTGCTAATGTGTGGACTTCGTGGTCTGTGGCCTTCAAGAGGTTTGGTTCTGTGCAACTTCTCCATAGAAATTCCCACAAGATTCCTACAGCATCTGGCTTGAGCCCGCAGCGTAGACTTGGGGGCAACCTTTGTTGATCTGGATTGAAAAGACTTTTAGGGAACTTCTAGGTTCACAGCAAAGTTTGGACAGAAAGTAGAGAGAGCTCCCACCGCACAGCTTCTCCAGCAGGTCGACACGCACTGCTGAGTGGATGAGCCCAGGGCTCCCTCGCCCATTCCTCGGGCAGGGACACATCAGGGCAGCCTGAAGAGTAGCTGCACCACCCCACGCAGCCTGCGCTCTGTGCGTCCGTCAGCAGCGCTCACCCCCAACCCCTGGTATTTTTCATGTCCCCATGGTTCTGCCTTCTCAGGAGGTCATAAAGCTAGAACCACACAGGTGCAGCCCCTCAGCAGGCTTCTCTCACTTAGAAATATGCAGCTAAGCTCCCTCCACACCTCCTTACGCTGACGCTCCTTTCTCTTAGGTGGAGAGGAACATATCATTGTCTAGATACACCACGGATGACTGTCACCTCCTACTGTCACACCACGGATGACTGTCACCTCCTGCTGATACACCATAGATGACTGCCACCTCCTACTGTTACATCATGGATGACTGTCACCTCCTACTGTTAAACCACAGATGACTGTCACCTCCTGCTGATACACCATGGATGACTGTCACCTCCTACTGTTACACCATGGATGACTGTCACCTCCTACTGTCACACCATGGATGACTGTCACCTCCTGCTGATACACCACAGATGACTGTCACCTCCTACTGATACACCACGGATGACTGGCACCTCCTACGGATACACTATGGATAACTGTCACCTCCTACTGTTACATCATGGATGACTGTCACCTCCCACTGTCACACCACAGATGACTGTCACCTCCTACTAATACACCATGGATGACTGTCACCTCCTACTGTTACACCATGGATGGCTGTCACCTCCTGCTGATACACCATGGATGACTGTCACCTCCTACTGAAGGACATGTTGGTTGCTCCTAAGATTTGGCAATTGTTAATAAAGCTGCCATACACATCTCTGCATATTTTTGTGTGAATGTAAGTGTTCAGCTCCCTTTGTAAATATCGGGGAGTGTAATTGTGGGATTGCATGGTAAGAGCATACTTAGCACTATAAGTGGCTGTACCATTCTGCATGGCCGCCAGCACAGAGAATCCCTATTGCTTCACACCCTTCCTGGCGTGTGCTGTTGTCGCTGTTTCCAATGGTGCCATCCACTTGGCATGCAGTGGTGTCCCTTGTTGCTTTAATATGCACTTCCCTCGTGATATGGAATATGTTTTATAGGCTTATTTACTATCTATATATCTTCTTTGGTGAAGTGCCTATTAAAGCTTTTGGACCATTTGTTAAAAGATTAATTTATTTGAAAGGCAGAGTGACAGAGAGGGAGAGACAGATTTTCCATCCAATGTTTTACTCCCCAAATACATGCAACAGCTGGGGCTAGGCCAGGCCAAACCCAGGAGCCAGGAACTCCATCCCAGTTTCCCATGTGGGTGGCAGGAACCCAACTACTTGGGCCATCATCCACTGCATTAGCAGGTAAGTAGATTGGAATCAAAATAGCAGAAACTCAAATCAGTGTTTCAATATGGATGCAGGTGTCCCAAGTGTTGGCTTAACCCACTGCACCACTAAACCTGCCCCTGGACAATTTTTTGAGTCAGATTTGTTTCTTATTGTTAAGTTTTAAGAGTTATTTGTATGAAGCCGGTGCTGTGGCATAGCGGGTAAAGCCGCCACCTGCAGTGCCGGCATCCCATATGGGCACCAGTTCAAGTCCCGGCTGCTCCACTTCCAATCCAGCTCTCTGCTGTGGCCTGGGAAAGCAGTAGAAGATGAGCCAAGTCTTTGGGCTCCTGCACCCATGTGGGAGACCCGGAGGAAGCTCCTGGCTCCTGGCTTCGAGTTGGCACAGCTCCAGCTATTGCGGCCATCTGGGGAGTGAACCAGTGGATGGAAGACCTCTCTCTTTCTCTCTCTGGCTTTGCCTCTCTGTAACTCTTTCAAGTAAACAAATAAAATCTTTTTAAAAAAGTTATTTGCAAATTTTGAGTGAGTCTTTTATCAGACATGATTTGCAAGTATTTTCTCCCAGTCTGCAAGCAGTTTAACCTACTGCACCACAACACCGCCCCAATAAATTGCTTTCCTTTACAAGTTCCTTAGCTTCAAGTATTTTGTTATAGCCACATCAAATGGACTAAAGCAGCTCCCAAATTTTGATGCATCCTTCCATGCACAGCTGAGATAACTTTCATTTGGTCATGGTCTGTAACTCGTTTGGTATATGTTGGGTTCTATTTCCTTTTTTTTTTTTTTTTTTTTTTTTTTGACAGGCAGAGTTAGACAGCGAGAGAGAGAGAGACAGAGAGAAAGGGGGTTCTATTTCATACTGTTTTGTTCAGGAGTTCTGCATCTATGCTCAGGAGAGACATTAGCCTGTACTCACTTTTCTTGTAATGTCTTTAATTGGTATTGGTATTAATGTAGTGCTGGCCACACAGAATAAGTTAGGACGTATTTCCCCTGTTTTTCTCTCCTGAAAGAGCTTGTGAACAATCGATATTTCTTCTCCAAGGGTTTCGCCTTCCAAATCGACGGGTTATTAATTGTTGACTCAATTCACCTAACGGTGACGGTCTGTTCACACTGTCCTCTTGTTGTGCGAGTTTTGACAGACTGCACCTTTGAGAAATGGACCCATTTCATCTAGATCATCACATTTGTGGCAGAGCTGTTTAGAGTGCTCCTTTATTATCCTAAGAATTATTTTACATTTGAAGGAAGTTGCAGAGAGAGAGAGTGAAACAGAGTGAGAGGTCGTCCATCCACTGGCTTCCTCCCCAGATGGCTGCAACAGCGAGGAGAAGCTGGGGGCCTGGAACTCCACCCAGGTCTCCCACGTGGGTGGTGGGGACCGAAGCACTTGGGCCGTCTCCTTCTACTTCCCCAGGTGCATCAGCAGGAAGATGGACTGGAGGGGAAGCAGCTGGGACACGAACCGGGTCCGCATGGGACGCTGACATCACAGGCAGCGGCTTCACCCGCTACACCACAGCACCGGCCCGCACCCACTGCATTTCTCACCGTGTGCTGTCCGTGGCCCGATTCTTTGTTCCTCTTTTCTCTTTCACTCATTTTCTGTCTTTTTTGGTTTCAGCTGAGCTCTTTACAGGCCTTCATTTTATTCCTCTCTCTTATCATGTCAATTTTAGTCTTTTGCTTATTTTAACAAAATAATCCTAATTTCTCACTTCCCTTGCATCATTACTATCATTAATTTCACTTATACACAGCATACACGATATCATTGTGTATATATAAGCAGAAACAATGAAATACATTCTTGCTATCATTATTTTGAGCAAGCCGTTACCTATCAGGAAATTAAGGGTGACAAAGACAAAAGTGCTGCTTATTTTATCGTCACTGATTGCTGCCCCACTGCTGTTCTTTCCTTAATCTGATGCTCCATGCCCCCTTTCCGTCTTTCTGAAGAAGCTCTTTACACATTTTTTTTTCTTTTAAAAGATTTATTTATTTATTTGAAAGTCAGAGTTACACAGAGAGAGAAGGAGAGGCAGAGAGAGAGAGGTCTTCCATCTGCTGGTTTTCTCCCCAACCAGCTGCCAATGGCCAGAACCACGCCAATCCAAAGCCAGGAGCCAGGAGTTTCTTCCAGGTCTCCTACGTGGGTGCAGGGGCCCAAGGACTTGGCCACCTTCTACTGCTTTCCCAGGCCACAGCAGAGAGCTGGATTGGAAGTGGAGCAGCTAGAACTCGAACTGGCACCCTTATGGGATGCCAGCACTGCAGGAGGCGGCTTTATCCTCCATGCCACAGCACTGGACACTCTTTCCACATTTCTTATAAGGCAGATCTACTGGGAACCAATTCTCTCCATTTTATCTAGGAAAGCACTTCACTTCTGAGAGGTAATTTTAGAGTATAGTACGTGTTTTTGTAGGTAAGAAAATTTTCAGTATTTCACTCCATTCTTTTGTTGCTTGTGTGGTTCTGAGAAGTTGGTGTGCTTTTCATTGTTGATGTTTCTGTAACGTGTACTTCCCCCCGGCCCCTTTCAGGGTCTTCTCTTTTCTTTGACCTTCTACAGTTTGACAATGCATGCACAGGTACACTACTGCTTGGCGTTCTCTGACTTTGCTGGATCTGGGTTTTGGTGTCTGATTAATTTGGGGGGAAATTCTCAGTATTTCTGTCTTCTGGAACTTCTATTACACTTCCATTTGTACCCTTTGTAGCTCTCCTGCCATTCTTAGATTTTTTTTTTAATTTTTAGGCTTCTTTTCTCCTTGCTTTTTCCCTCAGTCACGCCCAGTCTCCCAGTGAACCCGGTTAGCGGCATTCTTCATTTCTATGGCGGTATTTTTTTTATTTCTGTCACTTCCTTTAGGTTCCCATTCGTTCTGAGAATTTCCACCTCTCTGCTGCCACTGCCCAAACCCATTGGCGTTCTGGACCCAGTCCCCACGGTTCTTCCAAATCTCCAGCACCCTCGCCCCACATGCCCCAGGCACTGACGCTCGCTGTCTCCTCGAACCGTGCCTTCGCCTTGTCGTGTGCCTTGCAATTGTTTTCCTGGTAGGCAGGCGTGATGTTCTCAGCACACGGAGGAGCTGTGGACGGGCGGTGAGGTACGTGGGAGGAGGAAGAGGTCCACAGCCTTGTGGGTAGGGCTCTGCCTCCAGGAGCAGGTGCCTCTGCCAGGCGCTGTCACGGGGTTCTCAGGCAGGCGGGACCCCTCCGTGGCTGAAAGCCTCTCTAACCCCGGCCATTCTCCTGATCCAGGCCTTGCAAAGAAGACTGAGAACGTGGCTCCCCCCCCCCCCTGGATGGAAGCGTGAGGGGAGTTTTCTTGCTATTCTCTCTGATAGAGCTCCAGGAGGTAAAAACTCACAAAAACGTGGGCCCCGCTCCCAGGAGACTTGTTCCCCGAGCCTCCAGCAACCACCGGCTGCAGTTGGGGGTTTCCTGCCCACGGCGGTATTGGGAGCTGGGGTTCACTGTATTTGCCGGCTTCCTCTCTACCCCGGGCACAGCAGGCTGCCCTGGGCCCTCGCTTCTCTCACAGATCCCAGCTTGTTCTTGTGAGGACTGAGTGGTGACATCCGGGCTCCTTAGATGTGGAAGTCCAGGGTTTCTTTTCTTTTCTTTTTTTTTTTTTTCTTTTTCTTTTTTTCTTTTTTTTTTTTTTGACAGGCAGAGTGGACAGTGAGAGAGAGACAGAGAGAAAGGTCTTCCTTTGCCGTTGGTTCACCCTCCAATGGCCGCCATGGCTGGTGCGCTGCGGCCGGCGCATTGCGCTGATCCGATGGCAGGAGCCAGGTGCTTTTCCTGGTCTCCCATGGGGTGCAGGGCCCAAGCACTTGGGCCATCCTCAACTGATTTCCTGGGCCACAGCAGAGAGCTGGCCTGGAAGAGGGCAACCAGGACAGAATCCGGCGCCCCGACCGGGACTAGAACCCGGAGTGCAGGTGCTGAAAGGCGGAGGATTAGCCTATTAAGCCACGGCGCCAGCCCCAAGGTTTCGAAATTCATTTCCTGTCCTGGCCCATAGATGCTCGGAAATAGTGTTCAATTATTTCCTGGGCTTTCCTTCCATGATGTAAATCACAGATGTAGGAGAGGAGGAGCTGAGAAAAGACTCCAGCCCCGCCCCCAGCCAGAGGCCGAACTTCTCGCACTCAGGGCTGGCTCGCACGGGCCCGTCTGCACAGGTGCTCATCCTGCCTAGAACCCGGCAAGTGGAAACCCTCGCTCCCCTGGCTGGGCAGCTTACACTGCAGATGAGTTTATTGTGAGGGAGAAAAACACGGAAGAAACAAAACCTAATTTAAAAATTGCTTAGGAAGAATAAACACAAAACATAAAATAACTATTTGAAAACATAACTCGGTTCCCAATCGTGGCCACGTAAGAGAGAAAGTGGTATGCAGGGGCGGTTAAGAGGAAAGACGAAATTTGAAAGGAATAGTGGGGAAAGAGGAGAGGACACAAACACCTCGGGGGCCGGCGTGGTGGTGTAGCAGCGTCAGCACACCACACGGGCACAGGTTCGAGTCCCGGCTGCTCTGCTTCCGATCCAGCTCCCTGCTCGGAAAGCAGCAGAAGATGGCTCAAGTCCTTGGGCACCCACGTGGGAGACCTGGAAGAAGCTCCTGGCTTCAGCCTGGCTCTGTGCTGGCCATTTCAGCCATCTGGGGAATGAACCAGCAGATGGAAGATCTTTCAGGAAAAAAAGAAGACTCCTTGGATATGAAAGGATGGCGAGAAATTCATAGCAGGGAGGAGACAATGAACTGAGAGGGAAAGAGAGCAACGAAAACAAGCCGAAGCTTCTCAGCGGGAGGGACTGGTCCGGTTGAAGTCGGGTCTCCAGGGCTCCAGGGTGTGCATTGTTTTCCTGCTGAACTCACTCACTCACCACCACGAGCAACTTCTTTGGAAGGGACCCTGTGCACTGCTCGCTGAGTCGCACACTCACAGGGACCCACACAGCGCTGGCTGGAGGAACCACAACACTGGGCCAGATACGGCCAAGGGCCCGGGATTCCAGTTCTATAGTCCTTCTAAAGCGTGGAGAGAATTATTCAGTCACCGCACGTATTTTCATAATTACAACTGGGATAGAGTGACCGTTAAACAGGAAGCCAGGAGCCAGCAACAGTGTCAGAAGCAAGATGGTCACACAGAAAGCACAACTGAGTTGAATATACACACTCATGTTTGCCACTGGCTACATTTAAGAATATAAAATGGTAAAACTCCTGTGATGGTTTTGGAAAAACCCTTCTTCACAGAATTATAAAGTTGTAGAATAAAGTGTGGTTTTTTTTAATAAGGTGCAACACATTTGGAGTAGGCCAGCGTTAACAATGAAATTCACCCAACCCAACCAGTGAGCTGTCACAGACGCACACGGACTGGATCCTGCCGCATCCAGCAGGGACGCCCGTGCACCCAGCGACACTGTCACTACCTGGTCAGCCCGTTTCCACTCGAGTCCTTCCAGGCCCGCAGACGCAACTGGACCTCCTCAGACGGCGTGAGAAGGTGAAGTTGCAGAAGGCAAAGAACCGGGCAAAGCAGCAAGTGCGATGTCAGGGAGGTGGAACCGGAGTCCCTGTTCCAGAGCCACCGCAAAGCCTTTCCCAGCGGCTGACGTGGAGTACTCCCTCGTGCACGTATGCCTTGTATTGCAGCCGGAAGACGGCTTCCGCCCCCTTACCCACCTGTCCGCCGCGTAGCCCAGGGTGAACGCTCCAGCCAGGAAGCCAAGGTTCAGGATGGCTTGGGTGAGGTCCAGCATCCACGCATTGACACAGACAAGGTCAAACTGGGAAAATGAAGAAAACAGATGTGGAGACGTGGGGATGCTTATCCTCAAAACAGCTCATCTCTGCACAGACCAACGTTTACACACATCGCTCAGATGCACCTTAAATAAGCTCTGTCACAGGCACTTTTTACATCCAGACATGATAGTTTCTTTGTCACTTTAAATAAGTGCAAAGGGTGTCATTTCTGGTACACTATGAATACTGATATTTTAAAATAAGGTCACACCATTAGGTGTATCCAGTACCACGGGGAATACCACAGTCACGACATGCCTTCCATTGTCTAACAGGATATAATTTGATATCAATCTTGTTTCTCTTTGATTGCTTACTTCCATGCCCACCTACTTTTATCCTAAGTGATAGATTTTATGTAGAAAATATGCTTCATTGATTTTATTGATTACCTTACCATGCTTCTGTATACAGTAAGTTATGTATATGAATTGACATTTAAGTTTTAGATATTTGTTGGGACAACAGTCTGTTAATATCAGATATCTTTCTGATTGGGTTATAATCAGTAGTTTAGGCCATAATTGAAAAACAAAACCAGAGACATTACGAATCATGAAAATTAATGGTTTCCCAGGAATGAGGTTTTGTTGGAAATGTACCCGTCCACTTCCAGACTACAGGCTGGAGGCCAAGTAGCCTCTCAGTGAATGCTACTGACTGCCAGGACCAGTTAGGACCCGATGTCCAGTCTATCCTCTTTTTAATGTTTCCAATTTACAGTCTGAGAAACGCTGTGTCTGTAAGTGAATTAGTGGACCTGGAGAGGGGTCTGTAACACAGTAGCGCCACTCGACTTTCTCAGAAGGCTGAAATTCACACAGCGATCTCTCATCAAATCATCCCTACTTTTCTATTAACCCACACATCACTTCAGTCCCCCATGACCTGGCTGTAAGGGAAGGAATGGAAACCATCGGACTTAGAAAAGTTATTAAATTATCAGTCAACTGCTCTCTTTGTACCACAAATGGTATTTCAAATTCTTCCACGGTTTGGTACCACGCAAACCAATGCATCGTGGAGTTCCTAGTTTTCCAAATTGGGAAAAGGACAGGTTTGGAAAGGGACCTACGTCCTCCTTAGAGGACTGTTCTTGGGAGGATCCGCTCGGGGAAAGAGGACGTATGTGGGAATGTGCAAACGGATGCTCTTAGCAGGATCCTCCAGCGCTCGAGAGTCTGTGCAAACCTTCAAGCCACGTGCTGCTCCCAGCCGGAAGCCCGCCGTGCCAGACTGCGGCAGGAAGAGAAATCCACGCTGTTGGAACAGCAACGCTGAAGTCGCCTACGTGTACACCCAGAAGCCAGCTGTCACATTTATTTATACAGCACAACTTCTGGGTTCTGCAGTCTACGGCCCCCACCTCCCAGAGCTGCAAGGAAAGTTCAGGGTCATAGTCGCTGGCCTGCTGCACAGGAGCCTGGGTAGACGAGTCGAGATAAAGAAGTAGAACGATTGCATAAATGCGCGACAGTCGCCGTTGTCTGACCGTAGCAGCAGCTTAACCAGACCTTCGTCATTCACTTCTGTTTCTCAAGGCACAGTTTCGTCCTAAGTGAACTTGCAGATGGTTATTTGCCCGCAATAATTCCCCACTGGGATGAGCCTGCAGAGAATGACTTGCAAGAAGGCGCATAAAACTTCAGAAAGCAAACGAACCATTTCAGCAGCTGACAAGACACAACAGTCTCCAGAGAAATGGATTAGCCTGGGTCAGACAGAGGGACACGCACAGGAGAATCTACTTTGCTCAGTTCCACTTCTAAGACTTGTTTTAGCCAGGAAGGGGCTCACGGACGGCAGAGCGGACCCTTCTAGCGAGCTCGGTCAGCTGCTTTTGAATTCATCCAGTTAAAATAGATGAGCTTGTTCACTTTCCATATTTCATATCAAGATAAATTGAGAATAAATGTCCATACGGCCAACGCTCGGCGATGGCCACATCTGGGCCGAACATCACCTGCCCGGCTGTGCTTTCTACACCCCAGGGGCTGGCGGTGGGGAAACGTCATTTCCCAGGTGCCTTTGCCAGCAGGAATGTGGGCTCCGGCAGCGGGGAGCTGGGGCAGGAGGGAGGCGGTGAGGACCCGGCCCTGGCCTTGGCAGCAGCTCCAGCTCCAGTCCTGGCAGTGGCAAGCGTTGTGGGTGGCTGCAGGAGGCAGCCAGTGCTTGTACCCGCTCAGCTGCATGGGCGAAGGGCAGGACCCCGCAGGTGCGGCAGGGCAGAGGCTGACCACCAGGAGTCTCTGTGAGAGCTGCCCTCCCTGGCCCCTCTCCTCGCCGTCCTTTCTAGCCCTTCTGAAACAGCACGAATCCAAATCCCTTTATTCAATCCCTTGCTGCTTAAAACACCTAGTCTGGTTTCTGTTTGCATGACAGGGATCCTGTCAGCTTGCGGAAGTACAAACTAGACAAACAAGTGATCTGTCTTTAAGAGAAACATACACGCACACACACACTCTCACATGCACACACGCACACGCTCACACACATACATATACACACATACACGCTTACTCACACGCTCACACACATACACATACACACACACATACATATACACACATACACGCTTACACACTCACACGCTCACACACATACATATACACACGCACTCACACTCACACACGTGCACACATACATATATACACACGCACACGCTCACACACATACATATACACACACGCACACACATACATATACACACATACATGCTTACACACTCACACGCTCACACACATACATATACACACACGCACTCACTCTCACACACGTGCACACATACATATATACACACGCACACGCTCACACACATACATATACACACGCGCGCACACATACATATACACACACACGCACACACACGTGCACACATACATATATACACACACGCGCACACACATACACACATGCACACACACACGCACGCAGGTTTCCAGTACAGGGAACGCCGCAGATGCAAGCATTCCGGAGCACGACACCGACCACTGAGCACACAGCCACGGCCCAGGCCCCTGCCTCTGGGGCTGGAGCTTCCTCGCCACCTCCCACTGGCTCGCTGCCTGCTGCCACGAGAGTCTGGTGTTGAAGGAGCCGTCAGCAGGCACCGAAACCTGGGATTTTCGTAGGCAGAGGCTGGTTTCCTGGAATAAAGCCCTGGAAGCTTCCCGCAGCTCCCAGAGGGACCTAACACCAACCCGCTGTTGATGGGAGGTCATGGTGAGTCACTGAAAATTCACCTGCTCAGATCAAAGACAGCACAGGTCCCCACATGACGGAATCCACGTGGAACAAGTCCGACGTTCCGACTCTTTTGCAAAGTGTACGCACGCAGAAACATTGTAAAACTTTTAAGATGCTCATAAAGCCATGTGTTCTCCCTCTGTTATTTATTAATCTCCAAAGTCACTTTTACACAAAGAGCACTGCTCACCTTGGCAGGCGTAGAAAGTCAGCCTGATAAAAGACGCAAACAATTGTTCGTGCAATGCTAACAGCACTGCTGGGCTTCATTCTCGAAAGTACAGGAAGCCAAGCCTAACTAGATATTCTTGAAGGGATCCCAAGGAAGGGCTGCTCTTAGCTCCTGTTGGCTGTTAAAATCCCAACAGGTATGATGTCAATTTGAGTAGTGGTAAAATACTAAACAAGCTATTGTTAGATACTTGTAAACGTGAAGGTGTGGTTTCTAGGGGCCAGCGTCTCACCTAGCAGCTAAGATGTCAGTGCTAGGGTTGGTGCTGGGGCACAGCAAGTTAAGCCACCACCTGTGACATTAGCATCACTGTGACACCAGCATCCCATGTGGGTGCCAGTTCGAGTCCCAGCTACTCCACTTCTGATCCAGCTCCCTGCTAATGTGCCTGGGAAAGCAGTAGATAGCCAAGGGTTTCAGCCTCTGCACCCATGTGGGAGACCCAGAGGAAGCTCCTGGCTCCTGGCTTCTGCCTGGCCCAGCCCTGGCCATTTCAGCCATCTAGGGAGAGAACCAGTGGATGGAAGACTTTCTCTCTCTCTCTCTCTGTAACTTTGACTTTCAAATAAACAAAACACATCTTTTAAAAAAGGACATCCATGGGGGTCGGCGCTGTGGCGTAGCAGGTAAAGTCACCGCCTTGCAGCACGACATCCCATTTGGGTGCCAGTTCCAGTCCCAGCTGCTCCACTTCCAATCCAGCTCTCTGCTGTGGCCTGGGAAAGCAGTAGAAGGTGTCTAAGTCCTTAGGCCCCTGTGCCCACATGGGAGACCCTGAAGAAGCTCCTGGCTCCTGGCTTCGGATCGGTGCAGCTCTGGCCGTTGCAGCCAGTTGGGAAGTGAACCAGCGTATGGAAGACCTCTCTCTCTCTCTCTGCCTCTCCTTCTCTCTCTGTGTAACTCTGACTTTCAAATAAATAAATAAATTTTAAAAAAAGACATCCACGCACCATACTGGAGTACCTGGCTTTGATCTCCAGCTCCTGACTCCCCTACTTCTGCTGGTGCAGACCCGTGGAGGCAGCAGGGATGGCTCAAGTAGTCGGGTTCCTGCCACCCACGTGGGCGACCTGGATAGTGTCCCAGCTGCCAGCTGTGGCCCAGCTCAGTCCCACCTGCTGCAAGCATTTGGGGAGTTCTCTCTCTTGATCGTTAAAAAAAGGTCGAATTTCAAAATTATTCTTAAAACTAGATCCAAAGAATATCACCAACATAGATCAAAGGTAAGCAGTAAGGTGAAAACGATGCAAGCACGCAGAAGGCTCGGAAACTCAGGGGAGGGGGTGGCGACTGCTGCTAGGCCACAGGGAATGGGCCCTGGCCACCACCTGGCCACCTGGCCACCGTGTGCTTGCACAGGCTCTCACGGGACAGTCAGAGATCGGACGCCACCACAACGTTTGGCTTCAGCCATGAGCTGTGAGAAGCAGGGCTCACTCACGGATCTCACTGCTCCGGGAGAAAGGGCAGCCCCTGAGGCACTTCTACACGCCCGGTTTAATCTT